CTGAACTGTATCGCTGGCTTTCCTGGTTGTTCAGCTTGTAGACAGTAGACTATGGGACTTCTAGGCCTCTGTTACCATGTGAGCCAATGCCTATAAAAAAATCTCTTCTAATCTGTATCTGCATCTATAGCGGTAGATAATCTGTATTTATATAACCTATTGGTTCTGTTTTTCTGGAAAATTCTAACACAGCTGGGTATAAAACTTTAGCTTACAAATAATTTTCACTCCTAGTTTGAAAAGCATTTTTCCCTTATTTTCCAGATTCCATTATTACTTTTCATCATTCTGATACCATTCTGATTCCAAGCCCTCTATATGTTTCCTACTTTTATTTTTTCCTCCCTGGAATTTTAGGATACTTTCCTGTGCCAGTTCTTCTAAAATGATGCAATCGTTTGCCTCGATGTGGGTCTCATTTTCATTCTTCATGCAGGAAACTCAAGTTAGCCCTTTCAATGTGGAGACACATGCTTTCAGTTTCAGAAATTTCTCCTGTATTCGTCAAGAAAGTCTTTCCCTCTATACAATTTTTTCTTTCTAGAACTCCTATTATGCAACGTTCGCACCCTTTGACTCACAGACTGTAATTGTCTTAGCTTCTCTTTCCAATTTTACTTTTTTTTTTTTTTTGTTTTTCTGGGTGATCGTTTCAACATTAGCTTCTAATCCTTCAATTATTTTTTTTCCTTTTCCATTGATTTTTTTTTTTTTAATTTCTGTTCTCAACAAACTTATGGCTGCCAGGGAGGAGGATAATGGAGGGGTGGGCAAAATAGGTGAAGGGGGGAGGGAGATACGGGCTTACAATTGTGGAATGAAGAAATCGTGGGGATAAAAGTTACAGTATAGGAATACAGTCAATGGTACTGTAATAGTGCTCTCTGGGGACAAATGGCAGTCACACTTGTGGTGGGCACAGTACAACATGCAGACTTTCCAGATCACTATGTTGTACACCAGAAACTAATGCCACATTGTGTGTCAACTGTACTTCAGTAAAAAATAAAAAGAGTTCTGTTCTCATACTTTAAATTTCCACAAGCTTTACTCATTCTCTACATTCTACAAATATCACCTCTCCTTTTTAGGATCAGCTTTTTTTTCAAACACGCAATACCTTCTCATCTTTCTGAGGATAACTTTTTCAAGTTTTGTTTTAAAAATGTTCTCCAGGGGTGCCTGGGTGGCTCAGCCGGTGAAGTGTCCGACTTTGGCCCAGGTCATGATCTCACAGTTCGTGAGTTCAAGCCCCACGTTGGGCTCTGTGCTGACAGCTCGGAGCCTGGAGCCTGCTTCCGATTCTGTGTCTTCCTCTCTCTCTGCCACTCCCCAATTTGCACTCTGTCTCTCTCTGCCTTTCAAAAATGAATTAATGCTAAAAAATAAATAAATAAATAAATAAATAAATAAATAAATATGTTCTACCCCTTTACAATAGCCAAATTATGAAAGCAGCCCAAGTGTCTATCAATAGATGAATGGATAAAGAAGATGTGGGGGTCGCCTGGGTAGCTCAGTCGGTTAAACATCTGACTTCGGCTTAGGTCGTGATCTCATGGTTCGTGGGGTCAAGCCCCACATCCGGCTCTGTCTGACAGCTCAGAGCCTGGAGCCTACTTCGGATCCTCTGCCTCCTTCCCTCTCTGCCCCTCCCCCACCTGCACTCTGTCTCTGTCTCTCTCTCTCAAAAATAAATAAACATTCAAAAAGCTAAAAAAGAAAAGAAGAAGTGGTATATATGTACAATGGAATATCATTCATCCATAAAAAAGAATGAAATCTTGTCATCTGCGACAACATGGACGGAGCTAGAAAGTATCATGCTGAGCGAAATAAGTCAGTCAGAGAAGGACAAATACTGCATGATCTCACTCATGGGTGGAATTTAAGAAACAAAACAAATGAGCAAAGGGGAAAAAGAGACAGACAGAGAGAGAGGCAAACCAAGGCTCTTAAACCAATGGGCTCTTAACTATAGAAAGCAAACTGATGGTTACCAGAGGGGAGGTGGGTGGGGAATGGGGGAAGTAGGTGATGGGGACGAAGGAGCGCACTTGTCGTGACGAGTACCAGGTGAGGTACGGAAGTGTTGAGTCACTACACTGCGCTCGTGAAACTAATATAACAACAATTAATAATAATTATCAGAACTAAAACCAAATAAATAAATAATAACGGAGAGGTTCTGCTCCTGCCCCTCTCTCTGTCGTTTGAGTTCCTCTTACCTGTTGTCTTTTTCTGTCATTCACGCTAGAACTTTTCCCTCAGATGCCTGGTGACACCTGGGTGCCCACGTTTTAGTCAAAAGTGAAGCACAAGGATTTCTTTTGGGGGTGATGAAATGTTTTGGAAAGAGACAGAGGTGGTGGTTGCACAATATTGTGAATGTACCAACTGCCGCTGAATTGCTCACCTTAAAATGGGTAGGTTTATACTATGTGAGTTTCATCACCATTTTTTTCTCTTTTTGCAGAGAGGAGGGGTACATCCTGCTTTGGACTAGGATCTCTGTTGTGCCTGGGTTGAGCCCATTGACTGGTAGACCCGACCCCAAGGGATTGGCCAGGAATCTTGTCATCTCACTGGGGGTTTCCAAGTGTCAGTATCTGTTGGCTTTTCCCACTGGACAGTTCGGTTTCCACAGCCAGGAGTGCTCCAACTTCCTGCCTGGGTTGGGGTGCAAGCCTGGATCCCAGTGTTCGGGTGTCTGGGAGCTCCAGAGGGAGTAAAAGGCACGCTGACTTTCTCCCAACCTTCCTTCCCTCAGTGTGCTATCTCACCCCACTAGGCTCCTCCCGGTATCTCTGAGTCCAAGGCACTTGGGTTCAGCTTCTCCAGGAGTAAACTCTGATGTAGGTCTGGCCGGGTCAGGGAAGGATAATCTCCGGGCTGCATCCATCTGGGAGGTCTAGTTCTTTCTTGTGCTGATATCAGTTTTAGCCCCACCCACATCCTTGCTATCCTGGGTTCTTGGGGCCTCCAAGTCTTGAGACCTTCCAAATTTCCGCTTCTTTCTTGATACTCAGCTGCCTATGGCCACCTCCCTGGACACAGGTTTCTTCATTCTGCTGACCAGGTTGTGTATCTTTTTTTTTTTTTCCAAGCACAAAGATGCCATCTTGGTGGCTGAAGATGTTCCTCCAGCAGGTTGCTCCTGAAGCTCCAGCCTTCGAAGGAGGGCCATGTAGTGAGATGTGTGAACTAGGGTAGGGGTTCAGAGTTAGGATTTAGCCTTCGCTCTGGCACCAACTGGCTGCTTGTACTTGAACATGGGACAGGACTACACTCCAGTTTTGTGACTATTTTTCTGAACTGTGAAATGGTTGGTTGCAGGCAGATGCCGTTTCCAGGACTCCAAGCCAGGGCTTGGGCAGAGGCCTTTCAAGATCAGGTGTATGGCCCCCTGGGAAGTCGAGAATTGCTGGGAGTCCCTTTGAAACCCAGGGCAGTCATTTAATCCGGCCCGCACCTTTGGAGCAACATTTTCAGCTAAAGGTACAAAGTGCATTAAAAGTAAAAGAATACTTGAAACACAAGAGAATCCCCAGGGGACAGAACTATTGACCAGAACGGGTGACTTAGAACTTAACCTGTTGGCTGAAATTGATATGCTTTAAATTTTCATGCATCAGGGATGGCTCATAGTTTGGTCTTATGTTCCTCTACTCGACCACCCTTCTCCTTCCTTAGATCACATCCTGGCTCTCCCTGGCACCACACAAACTTTCCAAATTGCAGTGGGAACTAGGGTGTCTGCAGGACTATACGCAAGAGGGGCTCAACGGCATTTCGGAAAAGCCAAGCCAAGGGGCGCCTGGGTGGCTCAGTCGTTAAGCGTCCGACTTCAGCTCAGGTCATGATCTTACACTCCGATAAGTTCAAGCCCCGCATGGGGCTCTGTGCTGACAGCTCGGAGCCTGGGGCCTGCTTCGGATTCTGTGACTCCTTCTCTCTCTGCCCCTCCACCTCTCACTGTCTCTCTTTCAAAAATAAATAAACATTAAACAAAATTTAAAGGGGTGCCTGGGTGGCTCATTCGGTTAAGCGGCCGACTTCGGCTCAGGTCATGATCTCGCGGTCCGTGAGCCCGAGCCCCGCGTCGGGCTCTGTGCTGACAGCTCAGAGCCTGGAGCCTGTTTCAGCTTCTGTGTCTCCCTCTCTCTGACCCTCCCCTGTTCATGCTCTGTCTCTCCCTGTCTCAAAAATAAATAAAACGTCCAAAAAAAATTTTAAGAAAAATTTTAAAAAATTAAAAAAGAAAAGCCAAGCCAAATCAGTGAGGCAGAACAAGTATTACTATTCTAAAATGTTACAAAAGGCATCCTCATTTACATACAGGCCATTCTGGAGGGGATGGGGGGGGGGGAGCCAAAGTGACTCAGCAGGGGAGGCTGGGGCGGGGAGGTGGGGGTGGGGTGTCTGGGGTCCAGAGAGAAATAAACAGGATCTCCTTCCGGAAGTTCACAAAAAATACGCAGAGCCCTTTAAAGCTGCATTCACAATCTAAGCTACTTCTGCGACTCTGCTGTTAATTTTAGAAAATAAGAATTGGAGGGAAGAGCGTGGTTGGATTTCATAAGTCTTGAGAGAAACTTCCCTCTGGCTTGTGTACCTCGAGTGGCTCTTTTCTTCCCCGCCTCCGTCTTTCGCTCTCCCCTCCTCCCAGTGTTACCAGGCTTTCTCCGTAAAGCTCCCATCCTCCACCCCTCCACCGGTTCCCCACCTCCCTCCCCGCGCTGGGGGGCTGTGGGAGACACGCAGACCTCCCCCCTCGGTCTGCCTTTTCCTCTAGCCCTTGGGCCTCCCCTGGCTGCTTCCGGGCCGACCTCTTAGCCGTCTCCGTGAGGCCTCCCAATCCACCCCTTTGGCTCCCTGCTGTTTACCTTCCAAGTTGAAAAGTTTAATTGCAGCCCCAAGTGAGGCCTAGGAGGCAGAGCAGGGCTGGGGGGGGGGGGGGGGGGGGGGGGGGGGGGGAGGAAGTAATAAGGTCCCGACCGGCAGGAGGCCGTCCATTGGCCACCGAGGGGCAGTGACTGTGCCCCGGGTGGGGTGGGGGCCCTGGGTGCCCACTGCTGATTATGATTAACCAGCCCGCGAGAGCCAAGGGCTGCTCATTCCTTCTCTGAAAACGCACGTTTCCCCCCCCAAACCCTTTAGCTCGGACTCTCGCTTTTTTCTTTCTGGGGCCAATTCTCCAATTCCATATGTCTGTTTTAACTGAGGAGTGCTTGGGGAGCACAGATGGCGAGGAAGGAACTCAGAGGTAAAGTTGCACTGTCCCGCTGCGTCCCAGCAAAACCTTGGTGGTTTGGCGGTGACATGTTTGCAGCGGCCTGGAAGGGGAAAGAAGAGAAACTCGGCTTCCTTGGACGTGTGAGATCCAGTCAATCTTTTTGCCATCCTTGAAAAATGAAGGGGTCGGTGAGCTTGCTTTTTAATTTTTTTTTAGTGTTTATTTATTTTTGAGAGAGAGACAGAGCATGCGCAGGGAAGGGGCAGAGAGAGAGAGAGAGAGAGAGGGAGACAGAATTGGAAGCAGGCTCCAAGCTGTCAGCACAGAGCCCGAGTCGGGGCGCGAACTCAGGAACCGTGAGATGGTGGCCTGAGCCCAAGTCAGATGCTCAACCGACTGAGCCACCCAGGTGCCCCGTGAGCTTGCTTTTTAAAAGAGAGGTGTTGGGGCGCCTGGGTGGCGCAGTCGGTTAAGCGTCCGACTTCAGCCAGGTCACGATCTCGCGGTCCGTGAGTTCGAGCCCCGCGTCAGGCTCTGGGCTGATGGCTCGGAGCCTGGAGCCTGTTTCCGATTCTGTGTCTCCCTCTCTCTCTGCCCCTCCCCCGTTCATGCTCTGTCTCTCTCTGTCCCAAAAATAAAATAAAAAACGTTGAAAAAAAAAAAAAAAAAGAGAGGTGTTTTCTAAGCATACCTGTAGTCCAGAGGCCCCTAGAGTGCCTGTCGAAGTGCCTCCAACTCCTGAGCCAGGGGAAGTGGGCATCCAGGTGAGGCCTCCCGGAAGTGGCGTCCTGAGTTCTGAGGTTCGCGTGGGGAAGCGCCTGGGGAAGCGCTTGGATCCCCCACTTGTTCCCCAGCTGGTTCACTGTGCTGTTTGGAACCATCAGTCTCGGCTCGGCTACTTCCTTATGCGCAAGGTCTGCAAGCGGAAAATCAAAACGGAGATGAATTTTTCCGGCATCTGAGGTCTAAGGAGGAAATGTTTTGCCGCGTGGGCCATCGCCTCTGGGCAAGGTGGGATTGGCCGGAAGGTCAGTTGTTGGGCCCGCTTCTAAAGGCGTTGGTGCCTCGGTTTCTCCATTCGCTCCCCCTTTGCAATCAGCCGGCCCTAAGCAACCAGGTCGGAAGACATTTAATACTTGTATTCACGAAGATTCCCTCCTCTGCCAAATTACTCGGCTCCGCTGAACATCGCAAGCAGGACCTTGACTTTCGGTCTCTCATCTTCACCTCTGCATTGCCCCATTTTGGCGACAATCCTGCCGAGTCAACACAGCCAGGATCCCCGGCCTTTGCTATCTGGATCCAGTTTCTTATCCTCCACCATCCCCCAGAGGATTTCTGATCCCTTCAGCCTGCCTTCAGCAAGAACCCTCCTTGGTCCACTTAGCAAGAATCTCCCTTTACCCCTGATGTTTCCTCTTAATGATATCCATTCACTGGCTCCCACCCTGCCCCGTGGCTATCAATCTCATGTGCCCATGTGGTACTCAGACTTGAGTCCAATGCTCCCCATTACAGTGGTCCCTAGTCCTTATTGCCTTGAATAAAATCTTCCTTGCCGTGACTTCACAAGGGTCATCGAATAATTTTTTTCGTTAGTAGTATTTATGTATTTATTTATTTAAGATATTTATTTATTTTGGGGCAGAGCGCAAGCGGGGAAGGGGTAGAGAGAGGGGGACAGAGGATCCGAAGCAGGCTTTGCACTGACAGGCTGACAGCAGCGAGCCCGATGGGGGACTCAAACTCACAACCTGCGAGATCATGACGTGAGCCGACGTCGGAGGCTCAACCGACTGAGCCACCCAGGCGCCCCAGCAGTATTTTTGATATAAAGGGCTCTCACTACTTGTAATATCGGCCCGTGACAGAGCTGTTAGGGTTACTATTGCTATCTCACAGGTAAAGAACTTAAAACTCAATTAGGTCAGGTGACTCACCCGACAAGTCCAGGACAGGCAGTCACGCCCCCCCAACCCCCACCACCTGGGTCTTCTGACTCCCACATGCTTGCTTCCTACCAGAGGCAGAAATGAGGTGCTCTCTAGTTTGAAGAATGCTCGGAGCCAAGAGAGTTAGTGTCAGCGCTGAGTCTGAAGTATGACTTTGATGAATTCCCTGCCCCAATCAACAGGGACGGTTGTCTCTGCTAAGACAGGGAAGAGCCACCCCTTATTATGTAACAGCAGCTGCATTTCCCAGGAAGCTCGCCATCCTTGCAGCATCTGAGCCTTGAGAAGCGCACTGGGAATGGACTGTTGGATATTTTGGGCCAGAGCTCTACCAGGGGAAATAATCTGAGTGATTGGAAAGAGCTTTTTTAAGCCCACCATGTCCTGTGAGGAGGTTGTGCGTCATCGGAGACATCACTTGGGTCTCAAAGGCTCTGTAAGCCTCCCCTTCTCACCAGCATATTTCAAGCTTATTGCCACTGGGCCAAACCAGGAGATAAAGGACACTCTGGGGAAAAAAAGAAATGGGTTTGAAAGGAACCAGGAGACCCTACCATTAAGTCAACAAGTTCAAAAAAAAAAAAAAAAAAAAAAAGGAACAGAAGAGAATTTGTAGTACTCACCTGTGCTCTGCTGGGGTCTCCAGAAAGGTGTCATTAAAGTAACAGCAGTGGTTTTGAGATGAATTTGATCCTTATAAAATGATCCGGCGAAGATGTTAGAGAGAAAGCCTGGGGAAAGAAAGGAGGAATCATGTAACCTGGGTCCAAATTCTGGATCAGTTACTAACTACTCACTTGACCTTAAATATGTCACCTCTCCTTTCCTGTCCTTAGCTTCCTTATTTGTACAACAAGGTAGTTGGGCAAGGTGACCCCACTTTTTAGGGCTCCTATAACCACCTGACACTCTTTAGCCCTCAATTTCCTGCCACGGCACCAAGGAGAAGGGTCGTGGCAGGCTGAAGCTATTGCCAATGGGCAGACAGAATACCTACCAGCATCCTGTACCCTAACACACTAAGGAAATAATAGTGTCACTGCCCCACCCAATTCACATCCAAATGGGGATTTATAGTTACAGAGCCTTCCATGCATATTATCTGAACTATTATGGTAAGCATTTCAGTTTCTTCCCAGGGTACTGGGAGACCCGACACAGATGTGAGTATATGAAAAAGATATGTTCTTTCACCAACTGGGAGAAGCAGAGTGAGCTTCCAGAAGCTGGCCATGATCAGGCCTGGACCAGCTGCTTCCCAACCCAATACAAGCTTTTGATTAAACCCTGAGGTGATGATTCCATTTTTGTGGTTATGTGTTTCTATCCCTCCTTCTCTCCCTTTATTCCTTCATTCATCTACTCATCCACACATCTATCCATCCATCCATCTCTCCACCATCATCCATTCATCCATCCATCTATATACCCATCCACCCATCTATCATCCGTTCATCCATTTATCCATCCACCCACCCATCCGTCCATCATCCATCCATCTATCCACCCATCTATCCATCCATCTGTCCTTCCATCCATCTCCCCACCACCATCCATTCATCCATCCATCTGTCTATATACCCATCCACCCATCTATCATCCATTCATCCATCTATCCGTCCAGCCACCCATCCATCTATCCACCCATCTATCCATCCATCATCCATTCATCCATCTATCAATCCATCTATCCATCCACCCATCCATCCCTTTATCTATTATTCTCTAAAAATATTTACTGAGCACATAGTTGTAGGGGTTACGGAAAGACCTGTGTAGGATATTAGGGACAGGTTGAAGATGGGCCCTTGTACCAGAAGAGTCCTTTTTCAAGCTGGGAAGACACACTTCTGCAGCAAACATTGTGCAGCTAGAATCACCAGTGCTGATAAGGAGACAAGAGAGTCATGGGGCAGTCTTTGCCCTTCTTTCCCTCTCCATCCCTTTCATTCTCTTGGACACCTATATAGCAGGTCTGTCTCTGTCAAACTTCTTCTTTAGCTGCAAGTAATTATGTGGTCACATTTACACAGCAGAGAAAAGAATGGTAGGGAGCCATTTCACAAAAGAACATTACTGAGCTGCTTCCTGAATGATTGGCATTATTATTGCAGCTGGGCCCTCCTCCTTGACCAGAGGAAGGTCGCTGTAGTAAAATGGGCCCTTAGTTTTCTCAGAGCACATTAGTATTTAAAAAAAAAAAAAAAATGGATGTACCCTCTTTTGGACACCTCTTCTGGAGCTTCTTAGTACGATTCTCATTCAACTTGTCTTATCATTAATTATACTACAAATGAATAATTAAAAGGATAAGTACTTGCTGTGATATTCTCCCTGACCATCCCACTTTTAGGATGGTTGTGGTAAACTGGAGTTTGTCAGAGGGACATGATCAGTATGGTGAGAAGGACATGGGCTAGAGATCACGCCATTGCATCAACAGCCTCCGATGGTGAACATCCACACCATGGGGACCTTGCAAGAAGAAGGAGGATGTTTGTCATGGGTTAACCTAGAAGTTCAAAGCTAAGACAAAATTCCAAGGCAGATTGTAGTGGAACATAACGCTACTCTTCAAAATAACCAAAATGTCCATCAAGTGAAAAATAAATGAACAAGATGTGGCATATTCATATGATGAAATATTATTCCGTGACAAAGGGAATGAAGTGCTGATAACCTGCTACAACATGGATGAACCTTGAAAACACTGTGCCAGACGCAAAAGGGGACGTATTGTGTGACTCCATTTATATCAAATAGCCAGAATAGCCAAACCCAGAAACAGAAAGTAGATCCGTGGTTGCCTGGGGCTGGGGGTGGGGTGGTGGTCGGAAGAAAATGGGGGGGAATTGCTAATGGGCATGGGGTTTCTTTTTAGGTGATGGAAATGTCCTAAACCTGGGGCAAGGTTTGCACAACCCTGCGAATATATGAAAAACCACTGACTTGTACACTTTAAATAGGTAAATTGTATGGAACATAAATATCTCAAAAAAGCTACTATAAAAATTAGTTTGCCTGTTTTTAAAGTCTAAAAAAACCCGAAACTACCTTTTAACAAAGAGAGTGAAAGAATACAGTAGCATGGCGCTCGACCCGTGGGAAGTCCTGGATGCCCTCTGTCTCACTTCCGTCCCCCTGACTTGTCCGGCAATGAGAAGACTGAGCTGAGGAAATAAGAACGCTTGTCATCCCTGGAGATACCGGCAAATACACGGTGACCGTCCGAAGGGAGTTGTAGAGGGTTCCTACAGTGAGGAGAAGGATGGGTCTGAGTTTGAACTTTCTTGAAAGTAGAGCCTTGAAGCCTAGAGTCGGGGCAAGTGATTGATCTGGGAGGCGATGCCAGGAGCCCATAGTTTGCAACAGGACAGGGGAGGCAGGGAAAGGGGAGCTAACATAAGGAGCATTGTCAAGGTCGCCGCTGTGGTCCTCTTGAGAAGCATACAGAATGCTTCTGCAGGTGCTCTGTTTGAAGGTGGGGGCTGGGCCACCCATCGACCAGCTCTTCTCCCCACCGACTGAGGACTGCCCCACACTTCCAGGCTGTACTTGGTTAGGAGCCAAAGGGACCACCACAGGGGCCCGGGGTCTGTGCACCCCATGCCTGGAGTGAGATGCCGTGAGTGAAGTGAGCCTGAGCTCACACAGAACTTTCCAGCACAGCTGTGACTGAGGGAGACGTGTTACAGGCACCAGACACATCGGCCATCGTGGGCAATTTTGGCTCAAACAAGCAACCTAGAGCATATGACTAACATTTTTCAAAAGTGAAGTACAATAAAATAGAAGTGATCGAATGTATTGCATCTGAGAAATATCATTTCAGGAAATTTTTGTTTCATTACATGCTAAACATGTTTGCATGCATATGTATGTATTGGGGGGTGGTATAAGAAGTATTTGTGTCCACGCCTCGCAGAGAAAAATGCTGCTCTGCTAGAAGAATCTAAATTCTTTCGGGAAGGGAAGTTCAGTTTAAAGTAAGGTTTTAGGTTGTAGGGCAGTAACTGGATGAGAGGTACGTCCTGGTAGGAAGAACAGGAAAGAGGTACGAGCCCAAGGAGATCTGGGGCCTGGGCTTGTCAGTTTCTTAGCAATAACAATCTAGGACCACCTACCTTATGAAAAGAGATTTAAGAAATTGGCTTATGCAATTATAGGAACTGGCAAGTTCAAAATCTGCAGAGGAGGCCACTAGGCTGGAAACTCAGGCAGGGTTTCTATGTTAACAGTATTTTTAAAAAATATATAATTTTTTAAATGTATTTTTGAAAGAGAGAGAGAGAGACAGAGCATGAGCAGGGGAGAGGCAGAGAGAGAGGGAGACAAAGAATCGGAAGCAGGCTCCAGGCTCCAAGCTAGCTCAGAGCCCGTCATGGGGCTTGAACCCACGAACCACGAGATCATGACCTGAGCCGAAGTTGGACGCTCAACCAACTGAACCACCCAGGTGCCCCCTATGTTACAGTCTTGAAGCAGAATTTCTTCTTTCAAAAATCTGATTTTGCCTTTCAACACCTGCAACTGATAAGATGAGGCCCACCCACATTATTGAGGGCAATCTTCCTCACTTACTAAAAAATGATTATAACTGTGAACCCCATCTACAAA